GTCTCTGTGAGACTCTGTGTGACTCGCCTCTCCACAAACCTGACTCTTCCTCTCCCTCGGCCTAGAGGAGGGCCTCTCCTGTTTCCATGGAAACCTTCTTTTGGCTAAACTCTGCAGTTTGGCTTTAAACTGATCTCTGTGATTTAACTTTGTGTTTCTATAAACTCAAGTGACACAGCGACTCCTGAATGTCCCGTACTGCAGCTTTACCCTTACACACAGTGTGTTGGGACCTCCTGAATGTCCCGTACTGCAGCTTTACCCGTACACACAGTGTGTTGGGACCTCCTGAATGTCCCGTAGTACAGCTTTACCCGTACACACAGTGTGTTGGGACCTCCTGAATGTCCCGTACTGCAGCTTTACCCTTCCACACAGTGTGTTTGGGACCTGGTGATGGTTCTGTACACACAGTGTGCAGGGGCGTGGTGCGTGTGACACTGACCTGGGTTGTTTCATCCATCCCTCCAGGCGGACGTGTCCGCTGGCCTCGTTGAGGGGGGGGGCGGGGGAGTTGTTCTTGTCTCGACACAGAGACTCGCTGAAGTGCGTCGCCAGCTCCGCGGGGAGTCCGCAGGTGGAGGGGGCGCAGGGCGAGCACTTGGGGTGACACAGAAGACGACACTCTGAGGAAACGAGGGACAAAAGTCACTCCTCCGCTCCTGAACACGTGACCTAAACACGCGACGGGCGCCGTACCCAGACAGGTGGCCGCCTGCCGTCCGAAGTGCACCGTGTCCAGGCAGACGGAGCATTTGGCGGCTCTCATGTTCAACGCCACCGTGAAGCGGTGAGGGATGTTATGATGCATCCGCTCCTTCACCCGCCGCCCCGACTCTGAAACACACGACAGGGACAAACGACAGGGTCACACGACAGGGTCACACGACAGGGCCACACGACAGGGCCACACGACAGGGCCACACGACAGGGTCAAATGACAGGGTCAAACGACAGGGTCACACGACAGGGTCACACGACAGGGCCACACGACAGGGTCAAATGACAGGGTCAAACGACAGGGTCAAATGACAGGGTCAAACGACAGGGACAAATGACAGGGTCACACGACAGGGTCACACGACAGGGCCACACGACAGGGTCAAATGACAGGGTCAAACGACAGGGACAAATGACAGGGTCACACGACAGGGTCAAACGACAGGGCCACACGACAGGGTCAAATGACAGGGTCAAACGACAGGGTCACACGACAGGGTCACACACAGGGACAGGGCCACACGACAGGGTCAAATGACAGGGCCACACGACAGGGTCAAATGACAGGGTCAAACGACAGGGACAAATGACAGGGCCACACGACAGGGTCAAATGACAGGGTCAAACGACAGGGACAAACGACAGGGTCACACGACAGGGTCAAACGACAGGGACAAACGACAGGGACAAACGACAGGGTCACACGACAGGGTCAAACGACAGGGACAAACGACAGGGTCACACGACAGGGTCAAACGACAGGGACAAACGACAGGGACAAACGACAGGGTCAAACGACAGGGTCAAACGACAGGGTCAAACGACAGGGTCAAATTCCAAACAACAAACGACAGGGTCAAACACCGTGCACAACTCATGCTGAGGAGGAGGAAGAGGAGGTAGAGGAGGAAGAGGAGGTAGAGGAGGAAGAGGAGGAAGAGGAGGTAGAGGAGGTAGAGGAGGTAGAGGAGGAAGAGGAGGAAGAGGAGGAAGAGGAGGTAGAGGAGGTAGAGGAGGAAGAGGAGGAAGAGGAGGAAGAGGAGGAAGAGGAGGAAGAGGAGGTAGAGAAGAGGAGGTAGAGGAGGAAGAGGAGGAAGAGGAACCTGAGTGGTGCAGAGGAGGAGTGGGAGGGACTTACTTTCAAAGGTGACTCTTCTCTTTTCTGTGATTGGCAGAGAGAGAACAGAGCCACGCCCACGTTAAACACCAACACCGTCACCACGGAAACACCAACAACACAACAAAACAACAAACCACCACCACAGGACGTCACCATGGAAACACCACACACACTAACACACACACACTATACACACTGTACACACACACACACACACACACTGTACACACTGTACACACACACAACACACACCACTCCACATCACATCACAGTGTTAAACAGGTTAGACACGAGATACACACATGAACACACAGAGAGGGTGGAGGTGTGTAGTAGAGCCCGACCGATATATCGGCTGGCCGATATTATCGGCCAATATGGGTACCTGGAGACATATCGGCTATCGGCCGATATGCTCGCTGATATGGGCCAATATTTCACGTGGGCATGTTATACCTCGTTATAAAGCTTAGACTCTCTACATTCTGTTCATTTAATCCAATTTACAGACAGATAAATGTCCTCATATGTGACTCCACATCAGTATTTATCTACGGAGTCATTTGTGTGTCTGTGTCCGTACTGTCCCTGAACACACCACAGAGTCACTTCACTCACGTGTGTTTGTTTACACCTGCAGACACAGATCCAAACACTGACATTATTTTCTTTTTTCGGACAATCGGTTTGAGTCTGGATTAAAAGGACATTTATTAGTGCAGATTTGTGATGTGGGAGGAGCCTGTGTGATGTGGGAGGAGCCTGTGTGAGCGGTGAGTGTTGGAAATACATCGACTTTGAAGCTAGTTTAGGTTTTGTTAGCGATTAGCTGCTGTAGCTCCCGCACATAAACAGGCTGTTTTCTATTGGTCTATTGGAGGATTGTAGGAGTTCGTGCGGTACCTTCGGGGGTGGAGGTGTGTGTAGGTGTGTGTAGGTGTGTGTAGGTGTGTGTAGGTGTGTGTAGGAGTTCGTGCGGTACCTTCGGGGGTGGAGGTGTCCTTGGCGCGGGCAGACGGGTGGAGGAGGCTGGCGGGGCTCGGTTGGTGCTCGGGGCTCTTGACGATGGCGCTCATGAGGATCTGGTGTCGGGCCTGAGCCGGAGTCGAGGGGCCGAGGTGCTCCTGGGATTTAAAGAGCGCCGCTGGAACCAACCAACAAACAAACAAATAAACAAACACACAAACAAACAAATAAATAAACAAACAAAGAAACACACAAATAAACAAACACAGGAGGTTGTGACTGTGAGCGTCGCCTCTCCACAGATCTGACCTGGAGCTGCGTCTGCTCTGGTCTCCATGGAGATAAAAAGGTTTAATGTCACACTGTGGAACATTCCAGACAAAGCAGGAACATAGAACAATCTCCATGGAGACAAGCAGCTGACGGAGCCTCCACCAGAAAAGTTACACAGTGCAGCTTTAAAGTAATGAACCTGAGTCCTCCAGGGGGCGCTGAGTGTGAAGCAGCACAATCACACAGTCACACACTAGAGAATATATATATTATATATAGAATCTATATAAGGTAAATAATCTATATAATGTATAATGTAATAGTATATGCAGTAGTGTGTATAGTATATGCAGTAGTGTGTATAGTATATGCAGTAGTGTGTATAAAGGTGGTATAGAATAATGTAGTAAATATAGAATAGTGTAGTGTATATACATATATACATGTAATAAACCTTCTCTGAGCGAGCGTATAGTGTATATATAGTGTAGTGTATAGTTTATGGTATATATAGTGTAGTATATATAGTGTAGTATATAGTTTATGGTATATATAGTGTAGTATATAGTTTATGGTATATATAGTGTAGTATATAGTTTATGGTATATATAGTGTAGTATATATAGTGTAGTATATAGTAGTATTTATGGTATATATAGTGTAGTATATAGTTTATGGTGTATATATAGTGTAGTATATAGTTTATGGTATATATAGTGTAGTATATATAGTGTAGTATATAGTTTATGGTATATATAGTGTAGTATATATAGTGTAGTGTATATAGTGTAGTATATATAGTGTAGTGTATATAGTGTAGTATATATAGTGTAGTATATATAGTGTAGTATATAGTTTATGGTATATATAGTGTAGTATATAGTTTATGGTATATATAGTGTAGTATATAGTTTATGGTATATATAGTGTAGTATATATAGTGTAGTGTATATAGTGTAGTATATATAGTGTAGTGTATATAGTGTAGTATATATAGTGTAGTATATATAGTGTAGTATATATAGTGTAGTGTATATAGTGTAGTATATATAGTGTAGTATATATAGTGTAGTGTATATAGTGTAGTATATATAGTGTAGTATATAGTGTAGTGTATATAGTGTAGTATATATAGTGTAGTATATATAGTGTAGTGTATATAGTGTAGTATATATAGTGTAGTATATATAGTGTAGTGTATATAGTGTAGTATATATAGTGTAGTATATATAGTGTAGTATATATAGTGTAGTGTATATATAGTGTATATAGTGTAGTATATATAGTGTAGTATATATAGTGTAGTGTATATAGTGTAGTGTATATAGTGTAGTGTATATAGTGTAGTATATAGTGTATGGTATATATAGTGTAGTATATATGGTGTAGTATATATAGTGTAGTATATATGGTGTAGTATATATAGTGTAGTATATATGGTATATATAGTGTAGTATATATAGTGTAGTATATATAGTGTAGTATATATAGTGTAGTGTATATATAAGTGTATATAGTGTATATAGTGTAGTATATATAGTGTAGTATATATAGTTATATAGTTTATAGTATATATAGTGTAGTATATATGTGAGTAGTATATAGTGTATATATAGTGTATATATAGTGTAGTATATATATAGTGTAGTATATATAGTGTAGTATATAGTTATATGGTATATATAGTGTATAGTATATATGTGTAGTATAATATATAGTGTAGTATATATATAGTGTAGTATATATAGTGTAGTATATAGTGTATATAGTGTATATATAGTATATGGTATATATAGTGTAGTATATAGTGTAGTATATAGTATATATGTGTATATATAGTGTATATAGTGTAGTATATATAGTGTAGTATATATAGTATATATGTAGTATATATAGTGTAGTAGTGTAGTATATGTGTATATATATGTGTAGTAGTATATAGTTTATGGTATATATAGTGTAGTAATATATATATGTAGTATTAGTTTATGGTATATATAGTGTAGTATATAGTTATATGTGTAGATATATATAGTATAGTATATATATGTGTAGTATATATAGTGTAGTATATATAGTGTAGTATATATGGTATATATATGTAGTATATATAGTAGTAGTATATAGTATATATAGTGTAGTAATATATAGTATATATAGTGTAGTATATAGTAGTGTATATATAGTGTAGTATATATGTAGTATATATAGTGTAGTATATATAGTGTGTATATAGTGTAGTGTATATAGTATATATAGTGTAGTATATAGTATATATAGTGTGTATATAGTGTAGTATATAGTAGTATATATAGTGTAGTATATATATGTATTAGTAGTAGTTATATAGTGTAGTATATATGTAGTTGTAGTATATATATATAGTGTAGTATATATAGTGTAGTGTATATAGTGTAGTATATATAGTGTAGTATATGTAGTATATATAGTGTAGTATATATAGTGTAGTAGTATATAGTGTAGTATATAGTAGTATATATAGTAGTATATATATAGTTGTAGTGTATATAGTGGTAGTATATAGTATATAGTGGTATATATAGTAGTTATAGTATATATAGTGTAGTATATATAGTGTAGTATATATAGTGTAGTATATATGTAGTATATAGTGTAGTATATATAGTGTGTATAGTGTATATATAGTGTAGTGTATATAGTGTAGTATATATAGTGTAGTGTATATAGTGTAGTATATAGTGTAGTATATATAGTGTAGTATATATAGTGTAGTATATATAGTGTAGTATATATAGTGTAGTATATATAGTGTAGTGTATATAGTGTAGTATATATAGTGTAGTATATATAGTGTAGTATATAGTTTATGGTATATATAGTGTAGTATATATGGTGTAGTATATATAGTGTAGTATATATGGTGTAGTATATATAGTGTAGTATATAGTGTAGTATATATATAGTGTAGTATATATAGTGTAGTATATATAGTGTAGTATATATAGTGTAGTATATAGTTTATGGTATATATAGTGTAGTATATATAGTGTAGTATATATAGTGTAGTATATAGTTTATGGTATATATAGTGTAGTATATATAGTGTAGTATATATAGTGTAGTATATATAGTGTAGTATATATAGTATATATAGTTTATGGTATATATAGTGTAGTATATATAGTGTAGTATATATAGTGTAGTATATAGTGTAGTATAGTATATAGTTATATATAGTGTAGTATATATATATATATAGTGTAGTATATATAGTATATATGTGTAGTATATATAGTGTAGTATATATAGTGTAGTGTATATAGTGTATATATATATATGTATAGTGTATATATATAGTGTGTATATATAGTGTATATAAGTGTAGTATATATATAGTGTAGTATATATAGTGTAGTATATATAGTGTAGTATATATAGTGTAGTATATATAGTGTAGTATATAGTTTATGGTATATATAGTGTAGTATATATAGTGTAGTATATATGGTGTAGTATATATGGTGTAGTATATATAGTGTAGTATATATAGTGTAGTATATATAGTGTAGTATATAGTTTATGGTATATATAGTGTAGTATATATAGTGTAGTATATATAGTATATGTAGTATATATGGTGTAGTGTATATAGTGTAGTATATATGGTGTAGTGTATATAGTGTAGTATATATGGTGTAGTGTATATAGTGTAGTATATATAGTGTAGTATATATAGTGTAGTATATATAGTGTAGTGTATATTGTTACGTATCCGCATGGGCTGGCGCTCCCTGTTTGTTTTACTGTATCTTCTGTATTTGCATGTCCTGTGTGGTGCCTGCTGTCTGACTGGTGGCCGCGGTTCCGTCGCTGTGGGCCGCGGTTCCGTCGCCGTGGGCCGCGGTTCCGTCGCCGTGGGCCGTGGTTCCGTCGCCGCGGTTCTGTCGCCGCGGGCCGCGGTTCCGTCGCCGTGGGCCGTGGTTCTGTCGCCGTGGGCCGCGGTTCTGTCGCTGTGGGCCGTGGTTCCGTCGCTGTGGGCAGTGGTTCCGTCGCTGTGGGCCGCGGTTCCGTCGCCGTGGGCCGCGGTTCCGTCGCTGTGGGCAGTGGTTCCGTCGCCGTGGGCCTGTGGGCAGTGGTTCCGTCGCTGTGGGCAGTGGTTCCGTCGCCGTGGGCCGCGTGGTTCCGTCGCCGTGGGCAGTGGTTCCGTCGCCGTGGGCCGTGGTTCCGTCGCTGTGGGCAGTGGTTCCGTCGCTGTGGGCAGTGGTTCCGTCGCCGTGGGCAGTGGTTCCGTCGCTGTGGGCCGCTCCGACGCCCCCTGTGCTGTGGTTGGAGGATTGACGTTCTGTTCCTCCAATCTCTTCCTTCCACATCAATCACCTCGACCAATAAAAGTGCAGTGCGTCCGTCCCTGCTGGCGGCTGGACGGCTCAGTTCGCCCTCACCTCTGTAGACGTTCGCTCTTTGATATTGTAAACTGTTTGTTACTATAATTTTTAGTTTTGCCAGTTTGGCTCGGCCCTGGGGCAGTGTTTTTTGTTGCTGTTAAATACTTTAGTTTATGAGTGGTTTAGTAACTTTGTGGAATTCTGAACAATCAAATGTGAATCGTTTATTTTGTTTGTTATTGTACTTACCTACACCACTTTAAAAAACCTTTACTTTACATCATATCTGGTTTGTGTTACTTTCCTTTGTCCCTCGCACTGGGGTTGTAATATATATATATATATATATATATATATATATATATATATATATATATATATATATATATATATATATATATATAAAACAAACCTTCTTCTCTGAGCGAGCGCAGTTCGATCCTCATCTTCTGCAGAGCTTCCTCCAGTTCTCCACAGCGTGTTCTCTCTCTCTCCAGCGCCGCCTTCATGTCTCCGTACTGCAGAGGCACAGGGGGCGGAGCCACGGACGGAACCGCGCCGTGTGTCGTCGTGCCAACGTCCTCACGCTTACGCCCAAAGATGCCCTAAAGGAGAAACGAGGAAGAGGAGGAGCGTGAGAGGAGGAAGAGAGAGGAGGAGGAAGAGGAGGAGGAGTAGGAGGAAGAGAGCGTGAGACCTTCTTCTTCTTGGTTGGTTGGTCCATCTTGGCCTGGAGGAAGTCGATGAGTTTGGTCTGCTGCGAGATGGTGCCCTCCATCTTCACCTTCTCATGAGAATACACCGCCTACAGAGAGACCGGGTCAGACCAGACGGAGTCCAGCTTTAATCTTCACCAGGATGTTCTCACCTGGATGTTCTCACCTGGATGTTCTCCACTGGATGTTCTCACCTGGATGCTGGATGTTCTCACCACCTGGATGTTCTCATGTTCTCCCTGGATGTTCTCACCTGGATGTTCTCACCAGGATGTTCTCTGGATGTTCTCACCTGGATGTTCTCACCTGGATGTTCTCACCAGGATGTTCTCACCTGGATGTTCTCACCAGGATGTTCTCACCTGGATGTTCTCACCCTGGATGTTCTCACCTGGATGTTCTCACCTGGATGTTCTCACCTGGATGTTCTCACCTGGATGTTCTCACCCTGGATGTTCTCACCTGGATGTTCTCACCTGGATGTTCTCACCCTGGATGTTCTCACCTGTTCTCACCAGGATGTTCTCACCAGGATGTTCTCACCTGGATGTTCTCACCTGGATGTTCTCACCAGGATGTTCTCACCTGGATGTTCTCCACCTGGATGTTCTCACCTGGATGTTCTCACCTGGATGTTCTCCAGCTGGATGTTCTCACCTGGATGTTCTCCAGCTGGATGTTCTCACCTGGATGTTCTCACCTGGATGTTCTCCAGCTGGTACTCCAGGTCGGTCCTCTCGGTCTTTAACATGTCGGTCTGGTCCAGCGCGTCCTGCAGACCCTGAGTCAGTCTGAAGATGTGACTCTTCTGGAGATCCATCTGCTGCTGCAGTTTCCCCTGCTGCACGACACAGAGGGCAAAGGTCAGAGGGCAAAGGTCAGAGGGCACAGGTCAGAGGTCAGAGGGCACAGGTCAGAGGTCAGAGGCACAGGTCAGAGGTCAGAGGGCACAGTCAGATTTGAGCCAAACGCAGCTTCTTGTTAAAGTGCAGAGACCTGCAGCCTGGAGATGTGACCACAGATAAACTCACCAAACCAGATTCAAACCAGATTCACACCAGATTCACACCAGATTCACACCAGATTCAAACCAGATTCACACCAGATTCAAACCAGATTCACACCAGATTCACACCAGATTCAAACCAAATTCACACCAGATTCAAACCAGATTCACACCAGATTCAAACCAGATTCACACCAGATTCACACCAGATTCACACCAGATTCAAACCTCACCAAACCAGATTTACTGTGACATTTGTGGAGGTGAATAAAACTGTGAATATTTGACTTTTTAATCTTCAAATGTTTTGACAAAATTTAAACAAACAACTAAGAGTTAAAAGTGTTTCGACTTTCGACCTGCTGTTTCTACTGTTTCTGTTTCTGCTGTTCCTCTCCTCCTCCCTCCCTCCTCTTTCTCTCGTTCTTTCTCTCGTTCTTTCTCTCTCTCCTCTCTTCTTCTCTCGTTCTTTCTCTCGTTCTTTCTCTCGTTCTCTCGTTCTTTCTCTCGTTCTTTCTCTCGTTCTTTCTCTCGTTCTTTCTCTCGTTCTTTCTCTCGTTCTTTCTCGTTCTTTCTCTCGTTCTTTCTGTCGTTCTTTCTTTACCTCCTCCATGAGTCTTTGTTTCAGTTCTCTCTCCGTCTCCAGTTTTTGTTGGAGACTTCGTGCGTTCATCTCCAACATGGCGTGTTTCTTCTCCAGGTCGTTCAGCTGGAAACACAAACACACTAATAAAACACACACAAATAAAACACACACACTAATTACACACACACACTAATAAAACACACACACTAATTACACACACACACTAATTACACACAAATAAAACACACACACTAATTACACACACACACTAATTACACACAAATAAAACACACACACTAATTACACACACACACAAATAAACACACACACTAATAAAACACACACACTAATTAAACACACACTAATAAAACACACACACTAATTAAACACAAATAAAACACACACACTAATTACACACACACACTAATAAAACACACACACTAATTAAACACACACACTAAATAAAACACACACACTAATTAAACACACACACTAATAAAACACACACACTAATTACACACAAATAAAACACACACACTAATTAAACACACACACTAATAAAACACACACACTAATTAAACACACACACTAATAAAACAGACACACTAATTAAACACACACACAAATAAAACACACACACTAATTACACACAAATAAAACACACACACTAATTAAACACACACACAAATAAAACACAAACACACTAATTACACACAAATAAAACACAAACACACTAATTACACACAAATAAAACACAAACACACTAATTACACACAAATAAAACACAAACACACTAATTACACACAAATAAAACACACACACTAATTACACACAAATAAAACACACACACTAATTAGTGTACTTGTGTGTGTAGTTGTGTGTGTAGTTGTGTGTGTAGTTGTGTGTATAGTTGTGTGTGTAGTTGTGTGTATAGTTGTGTAGTTGTGTGTAGTTGTGTGTATAGTTGTGTGTATAGTTGTGTAGTTGTGTGTAGTTGTGTGTGTAGTTGTGTGTATAGTTGTGTGTAGTGTGTGTGTAGTTGTGTAGTTGTGTGTAGTTGTGTGTAGTAGTGTGTGTGTAGTTGTGTGTAGTTAGTGTGTGTAGTTGTGTGTGTAGTTGTGTGTATAGTTGTGTGTGTAGTTGTGTGTAGTTGTGTGTGTAGTTGTGTGTAGTTGTGTGTAGTTGTGTGTGTAGTGTGTGTATAGTTGTGTGTGTAGTTGTGTGTAGTTGTGTGTGTAGTTGTGTGTGTAGTTGTGTGTAGTTGTGTGTAGTTGTGTGTAGATGTGTGTGTAGTTGTGTGTGTAGTTGTGTAGTGTGTGTGTATAGTTGTGTGTATAGTTGTGTGTGTAGTTGTGTAGTTGTGTGTGTAGTTGTGTGTAGTTGTGTGTAGTTGTGTGTATTGTGTAGTGTGTGTGTGTAGTGTGTGTAGTTGTGTGTAGTGTGTGTGTGTAGTGTGTGTGTAGTTGTGTGTATAGTTGTGTGTAGTGTGTGTAGTGTGGTGTGTTGTGTGTAAGTTGTGTGTATAGTTGTGTTGTTGTGTGTAGTTGTGTGTAGTTGTGTGTGTAGTGTGTGTGTGTGTAGTTGTGTGTAGTTGTGTGTGTAGTGTGTGTGTGTTAGTGTGTAGTTGTGTGTGTGTGTAGTTGTGTGTGTGTGTGTGTAGTGGTGTGTGTGTGTAGTTGTGTGTAGTTGTGTGTAGTGTGTGTGTGTGTGTAGTTGTGTGTGTGTGTAGTTGTTGTGTAGTTGTGTGTAGTTGTGTGTGTAGTTGTGTGTTGTTGTGTGTAGTTGTGTAGTGTGTAGTGTGTGTTGTTGTGTAGTTGTGTGTGTAGTGTGTATAGTAGTTGTGTGTAGTGTGTAGTGTGTGTAGTTTGTGTGTAGTTGTGTGTAGTTGTGTGTGTAGTTGTGTGTATAGTGTGTGTGTAGTTGTGTGTAGTTGTGTGTTGTGTGTAGTTGTGTGTGTGTGTTGTGTGTAGTGTGTGTGTGTAGTTGTTGTGTGTATAGTGTGTGTGTGTGTGTAGTGTGTGTGTAGTTGTGTGTATAAGTTGTGTGTGTAGTTGTGTGTAGTGTGTGTAGTTGTGTATAGTTGTGTGTGTAGTGTGTGTATAGTTGTGTGTAGTTGTGTGTAGTTGTGTGTGTAGTGTGTGTGTGTAGTTTGTGTGTAGTGTGTGTGTGTGTGTGTAGTGTGTAGTTGTGTGTATGTAGTGTGTGTGTATAGTTTGTGTGTAGTGTGTGTGTGTGTGTGTAGTTGTGTGTAGTTTGTGTGTAGTTGTGTGTGTAGTTGTTGTGTGTAGTTGTGTGGTAAGTGTGTGTGTAGTGTGTGTAGTGTGTGTAGTTGTGTGTGTAGTTGTGTGTAGTTGTTGTGTGTATAGTTGTGTGTAGTTGTGTGTGTAGTTGTGTGTGTGGTAGTTGTGTGTAGTTGTAGTTAGTTGTGTGTAGTGTGTGTGTAGTTGTGTGTAGTAGTTGTGTGTGTGTGTGTGTAGTGTGTGTGTGTGTAGTGTGTGTATAGTTGTGTGTGTAGTTGTGTGTGTGTATGTGTAGTGTGTGTAGTTGTGTGTAGTAGTTGTGTGTAGTTGTGTGTAGTTGTGTGTATAGTGTGTGTGTGTAGTTGTGTGTATAGTTGTGTGTGTATAGTTGTGTGTATAGTTGTGTGTATGTGTGTGTATAGTTGTGTGTAGTTGTGTATAGTGTGTGTGTAGTTGTGTGTATAGTTGTGTGTGTAGTGTGTGTATAGTTGTGTGTGTGTGTATAGTTGTGTGTGTAGTTGTGTGTATGTGTGTGTGTAGTTGTGTATATGTGTATAGTTGTGTGTAGTTTGTGTGTTGTGTGTATAGTTGTGTGTGTGTGTAGTTGTGTGTATAGTGTGTGTGTAGTTGTGTGTATAGTTGTGTGTGTAGTTGTGTATAGTTGTGTGTGTAGTGTGTTGTTGTGTGTGTGTTGTGTGTAGTTGTGTGTAGTGTGTGTGTGTGTGTAGTAGTTGTGTGTAGTGTGTGTGTGTAGTTGTGTAGTTGTGTGTAGTTGTGTATAGTGTGTGTATAGTGTTGTGTAGTAGTGTGTGTAGTGTGTGTAGTTGTGTGTATAGTTTGTGTGTAGTGTGTTGTGTGTAGTTGTGTGTATAGTTGTGTGTAGTTGTGTGTGTAGTTGTGTATAGTTGTGTAGTTGTGTGTAGTTGTGTGTATAGTTGTGTGTGTAGTGTGTAGTGTGTGTGTGTGTATGTGTAGTGTGTGTAGTTGTGTGTATAGTTGTGTGTGTAGTTGTGTGTAGTTGTGTAGTTGTGTGTGTGTAGTGTGTGTGTATAGTTGTGTGTATAGTGTGTGTGTGTGTAGTGTGTGTGTAGTTGTGTATAGTTGTGTGTAGTGTGTGTAGTGTGTGTGTATATAGTTGTGTGTGTAGTTGTGTGTGTAGTTGTGTGTGTAGTTGTGTGTATAGTGTTGTGTGTGTGTATAGTTGTGTGTAGTTGTGTGTATAGTGTGTGTGTAGTTGTGTGTGTATAGTTGTGTGTATAGTTGTGTGTGTTAGTGTGTGTATGTGTGTGTATAGTTGTGTGTAGTTGTGTGTAGTTGTGTGTAGTTGTGTGTGTAGTGTGTGTATAGTTGTGTGTGTAGTTGTGTGTAGTTGTGTGTATATAGTGTGTGTGTGTAGTTGTGTGTATAGTTGTGTGTAGTTGTGTGTATAGTTGTGTGTAGTTGTGTGTGTATAGTTGTGTGTGTAGGTGTGTGTATTGTGTGTGTAGTTGTGTGTAGTTGTGTGTTGTGTATAGTTGTGTGTGTAGTTGTGTGTAGTTGTGTGTGTAGTTGTGTGTAGTTGTGTGTAGTGTGTGTGTGTTGTGTAGTGTGTAGTTGTGTGTATAGTTGTGTGTAGTTGTGTGTATAGTGTGTGTGTAGTTGTGTGTATAGTTGTGTGTTTGTAGTGTGTGTATAGTTGTGTGTATAGTTGTGTGTAGTTGTGTGTAGTGTGTGTGTGTATAGTTGTGTGTGTGTGTGTAGTGTGTGTAGTGTGTGTAGTGTGTGTGTGTGTAGTTGTGTATAGTTGTGTGTGTATGTGTGTGTGTGTAGTAGTGTGTGTAGTGTGTGTGTGTTGTGTGTATAGTGTGTGTGTGTATAGTTGTGTGTGTGTTGTGTATAGTTAGTTGTGTGTAGTGTGTGTAGTGTGTGTATAGTTGTGTGTAGTTGTGTGTATAGTTGTGTGTGTAGTTGTGTGTAGTTGTGTGTATAGTGTGTGTGTGTAGTTGTGTGTGTGTGTGTGTGTTAGTTGTGTGTAGTGTGTGTGTTGTGTGTATAGTGTGTGTGTGTTGTGTGTATAGTTGTGTGTAGTTGTGTGTATGTGTGTGTGTAGTTGTGTGTGTATAGTTGTGTGTGTATAGTTGTGTGTTTGTGTTGTGTGTATAGTTGTGTGTATAGTTGTGTGTATAGTTGTGTGTTGTGTGTATAGTTTGTGTGTAGTTGTGTGTATAGTTGTGTGTGTAGTTGTGTGTATAGTGTGTGTGTAGTTGTGTGTATGTGTGTGTGTAGTTGTGTGTAGTTGTGTATAGTTGTGTGTGTAGTTGTGTATAGTTGTGTGTATAGTTGTGTGTATAGTTGTGTGTGTAGTTGTGTGTATAGTTGTGTGTAGTTGTGTGTATAGTTGTGTGTGTGTGTGTATAGTGTTGTGTGTTAGTTGTGTATAGTTGTGTGTGTAGTTGTGTGTGTTGTGTGTATAGTTGTGTGTATGTGTGTGTGTGTAGTGTGTGTGTGGTGTATAGTTGTGTGTATGTGTGTATAGTTGTGTGTAGTGTGTGTGTAGTGTGTGTAGTGTGTGTGTAGTGTGTGTGTAGTGTGTGTGTAGTGTGTGTGTGTGTAGTGTAGTGTGTGTAGTTGTGTGTGTAGTTGTGTGTATAGTTGTGTGTATGTGTGTGTAGTTGTGTGTAGTTGTGTGTATAGTTGTGTGTGTAGTAGTTGTGTGTAGTGTGTGTGTAGTGTGTGTATAGTTTGTGTGTGTTGTGTATAGTTGTGTTGTGTGTGTGTGTGTGTAGTTGTGTGTAGTGTGTATGTGTGTGTGTGTGTGTGTTGTGTGTATAGTTGTGTGTGTGTAGTTGTGTATGTTGTTGTGTGTAGTTGTGTATAGTTGTGTGTAAGTTTGTGTATATAGTTGTGTTGTGTGTAGTTGTGTGTATAGTGTGTGTATAGTGTGTGTGTGTGTGTAGTTGTGTTGTGTATAGTGTGTTAGTTGTGTAGTTGTGTGTAGTGTGTGTATAGTTGTGTGTGTGTTGTGGT